GGGGTTCACACAACTGGTACATGCATGAGCCTAAACCTGAATTCGGGGGCTGTGGAAGGTGAGTGAGGCCAAGGCAGGCCAGCCAGCCCCTGTCACTCTTTCTGGTCACCGACTTTGGAAATCTATTTCTCCTTAGGTAGAATACCCAAAGTGGCTAGTGGAAGGACACATGTAGCTGAGACCCAACTGGCCCGAGCATCCCCAAAAGTATCTTCATTCATGATGGTCTATTTTGGGGCAGGTACTGTAGCTGGAGAGCTTCTCTCCAGGTCCCACCAAGCCCCCGAAGTCCCACAACCCATGTATAAAATAATCACTCAGACACATATTACTTATAAACTGTATGGCCGTGGCAGGCTTCTTGTTATCTACTCTTTTTATCTTAAGTTAACCCACTTCTATTAATCTATAAGTTGCCACGTGGTTTGTGGCTTACTGGTACCTTACATCTGGCTTGTCATGGTGGCAGCTGGCAGTGTCTCTCTGCCTCAGCCTTCCTGTTCCCAGAATTCTCTTCTCTGCTTGTCCCGCCTATACTTCCTTCCTGGCTACTGGCCAATCAGTGTTTTATTTATACAGAGCGATATCCACAAGGTACTGTGACATCTCTATAGCAACCCATGAAGTAGCATGAAGACTGTTATCCCTATTCACCCAAGGATACCCCTTTCCACCAGGCAAGCTAATTATTAATCTAAGTTCCCACTACCAGAGAGTGGCCACAGTGACATTGACTCAACAGGAGGGAATTGAGGAAGGTGGAGATAGGGAGGGGCAGGGTATCTGTCGCTGCTGTGGCCGGCTCACACCCTCATCACCTGCAGGTTTGTAGTTTAGTAGGCCATGCCAATAGCAGCTGCTTTTCTAAGATGCACAGGGGACCCAGGGCTTACTGTGGTTATGTCACAATTGTGACGTTATAGATGTAACCAGCTGTCTTATTAAATAAGAAACATAGAATCAATGTAAAGAAGAAAGCCAAGAGATCAGAGCTAAGAGCCTTACCCGCCTGCTGCAGCTAGCCTCTTAAGCCAAGAGACCTCTCCGAAAAAGGACCTACTTCCTGTGTGTTTGTCTTTATATAGTCTTTCTGTTCTGCTTTCTCATTGGTTGTAAACCCAAACACATGACTGCCTCCTCACTGCCTGTATGTACAGCCCTCCAGGTCTTCTATGGTATTGAGATTAAAGGCTTGTGTCTCCAATGCTGGCTGTATCCTTGACCACACAGAGATCTACCTAGTTCTTCTACCAAGTGCTGGGATTAAAGGCATGTGCCATGAATGCCCAGCTCTGCTATGGCTTGCTATTAGCTCTGACCCCCAAGCAACTTTATTTATTAACATACAAATAAAATCACATTTCAGTACAAATAAAATACCACCATATGACGTTATATTCTGCTTGCCTGATTCTCACTGTGGACTCCAAATGGACCAGTCCAGGTGAGATGCACGGCCCCAGCACAGGGCTGCTGTGAGCAGGACACTGATTCCCTAGGACTACAGAGTGTTCTTTGTATTAGGAAGGATCTTGAGATTGTTGGTATGCAGGTCAGGCTTCTCTTACCTCTGGGATTCCCCTGGTGCCACATAGCAGAGGCCCTTGGGCCTGACTCCCTGCTCTGGACAAACGTGGGTTTTCTCTGAATTTCTTCTCCTCAAAACTAGCAATTTATTTCCACCTTTTCTACTATCCTGTTTGCAAACACTGATTGGCTCCAGTTTAGCACCCTTGGCTCAGTATAATATATAGTATGTATTTTATAATATAAAGCTATTTTTATTATATACTCTATATAGCTATAAAAACTCTATAAAGCTATTTTTATTATATATTCTCATGCTCTTTTCTTCCTAGCTGAAGGTTGTAAGTCTTTTCACTAGCTGCTGACATAGGCATGCATATGCATGAAAGAAATTATGCATGAAACAAACTGTGGTTTTATCCATAGCATTGTGTTGTATTACACTGAAGGCATCATTGAATCTAATATACATCACTGGTCTATGCGGTACTAAGAGTAAAAAGCTGCCAGTTAAAGCACACCATCCATGGCTGGAGGTACCCCAGCTACAGAGACAGTTACAGTAAAATAAAAAAAAAAATAAAATCAAAACAACAACCAGCAGCAGGCATTTGGAATCATTAAAACACAGACTGCAGAGATGTTTGTAAGTAAAACATGCGGCATGTTTATACTAATAAATCAGCAGAAGAAAGGACTGACGATTCCAAACCTGTCTTGTGTAGTAGGTTGAGTTGAGGGTATCAACAGAGGGGAACCCAAAATAAGCCTTGCCTGGCACAGCATGTCTTGAGATATTTAATACGCTGTCTTTCTTTCTTTCTTTTTCCAAGACAAGGTAACATTGGCTGTCTGGAACTCACTCTTAGATCAGGTTGGCCTCAAACTCACAGGGATCCTCCTGCTTCTACCCCCCCTCCCCCCCAGTGCAGGGATTAAATGCATATGCCATCACTGCCCAGGCATTTAATAGGCTTTTAAATATGTTATTGCCAATGGGAGCTGATCCTATTGGTTCCCAAAGTCTCTTGGGGAATGTGTCAGAAAATGTATTCCTGAGTCCCACCCCAGTCTACTGTCTTTAAATCTATGGGGATGAGGTGCAGGAAACTTTACAAATACAACCAACCTCCTTTTGTTAGATCCTTTATTTGGTAATGAAGATGATTAAAATCAGGGAAGGTAGGTGGCCAGGGCAGGACAGAAAAGTCACTGCCTCCATCCTAAAACTGCACAGTCCAAGCCTGAGCTCAATGCCCACGCCTCTCCTTGCTTTTCTGTCAGGTATGAGGTGGCTTCGTGCAGAGCTCAGGCTGTCCATTTCCAGGCCCTGTCTGACACTTGACCTTAGTTTTGGTCTACCTCACAGGCGTGTGCCACTGTCTTTCCTCTGCTTGGACTGACTGATGGACGTAACGCTGTAGATAGCACCTGCTGGATCCTGAAGGGACAACCTTGGTTTCCCTTAGTGCCATCCTCAGAGGGACAGTAAGTGAGCATATGGCCAAGGCCAGGACCTCCTCTGGCCATGCTGAAGAGCCTCTTTCCCCGCAGGCCATGTGGGAGCAGTGCCAGCTACTGAAGAGTGCCTCGGTGTTCGCCCGCTGCCACCCTCTGGTGGATCCCGAGCCTTTCGTGGCCCTCTGCGAGAAGACTTTGTGTACATGCACTACTGGGCCGGAGTGCGCATGCCCCACTCTCCTTGAGTATGCGCGGGCCTGCGCCCAGGAAGGGATGGTGCTGTACGGCTGGACGGACCACAGCGCCTGTCGTAAGTTGCTGCTTTGCCCTGCGCCAGGCACAGGCTGTTTGTCCTGGGGTGGTGGCACTCGATGTGTTGGAGCTGTGTTGTGTGTGATGTGTACCTTCGCACCACTGCCACCAGCCGGTGTCTACTGAGCCCTGGTGTCCTGAATGGCTTCTGTGCTGTCACCTGGTCCTGTGAGCACGGGCCAGCAGGGGAGTCCCTTCCCTCATGGTCCGAGTGGAAGCTGAGCAAGCCTTGCAAGGCCCTGGCCCTACCTCTGTGTCTTGCCACATCCCTCTCCGTACCCCGTGACTTCCCACAGTTGAGCCTGCTTCAACGCAGCAGGCGCTTAGGTCTCAGGGTTTGTCCCCGCGGTTTTCCTGAGGTAGAAGGTTATCTCAGCTGCATGTGGGGTGGCCCCAGAGAGACCAGAAAGCCTTCATTAAGCCTTCCCTTTTATTAACTCATCCTTCCGGCCTCCAGGCACGGTGCGTACTGTTCCTTCCATCCTGTCTTACAACACCCCGTTGGCATCTCTAAATCTCACGGGGCCCATAGTCATTGTCACCATCTCCAAATTACCGTGATTAAATAGAGACTTCTGGTCACCTTGCAAAAGCCTGCTCTCTCACCGCCCTGATCAAAAGCCACTCGACGGACAGCTGGCTGGCTATAATTAGGCAGATAATGTGGACTGAAGGAGGCACAGGGCCCGGCTGGTATTGACTCTGCACACTGGAGTTTCACCATCTGGCAAACAGCTTTGCCCGTCGCCTCTGCTGTGGGGGTGTGGGAAGATGGGGGTTAGAGCTGTCACCTCCCCTGCCCAAGGGAGTGGCTGTCCTTTCAGACCTTTGAAGGTAGGGCGGAGGAGATGCCTGAGAGATGGTCTTGAAGAAGCTGGAGACAATTGTTTGGGGAGAGCCAGCCAGGCCTTGCCCACGAGGGTCTGTGTGCGCCATGGGGTGAACAGAGAGAGAGTTTGGCAATAAAGCTCAAAGGCAGCCCAGTAAAACGGTGGATATAAATGATTGCCACCAAAGCGGGCATGGGTAGAATGTGCCCTAGCTGGGCATGAGGTGACATTTGGTGGGAGCCGATATCATGAGGAAGAGGGGCTCTCAGAGGAGGAAGTGTTAGTTTGTTGCTGGTCCCTGGAAGCCATTTATTTTTATTTTTTATTTTTATTTTTTTTTAGTTCAGAATTTGGTGTTACTCTGAGAAAATTTTAGAAAGTCACAGAACACTTAGAGACAAAAGATGCCCAAGCTTTCTTCCTGGAGAATGGAGGACAGATAGCCATGAGGCAGGGGTGGCTGGCCCAGTCTTAGTGGGGACCTTGCAAAATGGAAGATGCTCTTTCAGGGAAATGCTGGCTTCAGGCCCACGGGCTGGTGGCTGGGGATGGCCCCTGGGGCCCTAGAACGGAGTGGACAGTCGGAGGACCAGGCTGGCTGCACTTGCAGTATGGTTTGGAAGCTGCCGTGCTGGTGAACTGCCTGGGGAGACTCTTTGATTTGTCTTTCAGACCCGGCGTGCCCTGCTGGCATGGAGTATAAGGAGTGCGTGTCCCCTTGCACCAGAACCTGCCAGAGCCTGCCTATCAATGAAGTGTGTCAGCAGCAATGTGTGGACGGCTGTGCCTGCCCTGGTAATAAACCACCCTCTTCATCTGCAAACCTGAGGTCCTGCCAGTGCCCTTGGCTTTGGGCAGAGGGATGAAGGCCACTTGTGTTTGGCCCCCATGGCTGTAATCAGAGATCTTTTATTTAGCTGTTTTTAAAGTCTCTGTGCAAAAAGCTCAGGGTTAAACTGGTCTTTATTTTGAATTTATGTTTTCCCGTGGTACTGTATTCACAAAGCTCTGTGTCTAGGGAAATGAGGGTGGTCTTAGCCCTCACAGTGACTTTGTTCAGGGAGCTCCTGGCCTGATCTGAGCTGTGGTTTTGTTTTCCCAGTTAGGGTTCAGGACTCCAGTCTGGGAGAAAGGTCTTCTGTGTCCTGGGTTTGCCTTGTGCGCTCCCCTGAGAAGGACTTGCGTTAGAAAGTCTCTGGCCAGGAGACTGTGAGTGACGGTCGCAAGCTGTATTCAGCTATGCAGAGTAGGAAGTCCTGAGGCTCACGACTTCTCTACTGGATGCTGTGGAACAAAACTGTTGACGCCACGAAATCCTGTAGGCAATGAGAGAGAAATGACCCAGCACACTCATGCACATTGCATCATGCAAGTTCTTTGAGATTCCCAGAAGAAGGCCGGGCTCACTGGCTTCTCCACTGGACAACCCCAGCAAGCTCTTTGGCCCATTCTTGCTTCTGTAGAATGGAGGTTGATATCTCCCATCCTCATAGTCCATCAGGGATAAACATCGTAGTACGTTGTAGTTTTTCAGAAGCACTAAGCTTTTGATTACCCATGGGGTTCTAGAAGTGGGGGATGAATAATGGTGATGACAGTGCTGAGATCTTTGCCTTGATGCCCTTGAACCCAGAGGGAGAGCTCCTGGATGAAGGCCGCTGTGTGCAGAGCTCCGAATGTTCTTGTGTGCATGCTGGGAAGCGGTACCCTCCTGGCACCTCCCTCTCTCAAGACTGCAACACATGGTAACTGGGGCTACACAGCGTGGTCTACCCAGCGGGTTTGGGAGGGGAAGCTGGGGCAGGAGGGGCAGGATCAGGTGGACCAGAAGCTGGCCTGGGTTGAGAGCAGGGGCTGGGGGGTTGGCAGAGGGATCCGAGCAGGTGCTGAAGGCAATGGTGGCATGCAAAGATCATGTCACAGGTATGCCTGGAGGGAAATCAGAGGGACGCATCTTTTCCATGCAGCTGACAACGCTAGCTCTTTCCAAATGATGGTTTGGTAAATGATGCTTGTCCTCTCCAAAGAGGTTATGTTACATCAAGCACACAGCGTCTCTCCTTAAATCTTTCGTCTGCTGGGTGATAGCAAGCATAATCCCCTAGTAGGGACTCCTCGGACTGTGTTCTAGAGCCTAGGTGGTCCTAGCCTGGGCACCTGTCCCTGTTTGGTTCAAGCATCTCTTCAAGACTAGCTCTGCACATCAGCTCACTGTCCTCTGCACACTGGAGGAAATAGCACCTTGTCCCGCCTCCAGCCCTTCCCTGCTTGGGGCCTCTAGTGCAGTGGTTCTCAACCTATGGGTCGCTACCCCTTTGGGGGGGTCAAATATCAGATACCCTGCATATCAGATATTTATATTACGATTCATAGCAGTAGCAACATTGCAGTTTGGAAGTAGCAACGAAGTACACAGTCACCCCTGTATGAAAGGGTTGAAGCATTAGGAAGGTTGAGGACCACTGCTCTAGTGCCTGCTGAGCCTCAGGGGTCCCCCCTCCACTGTCCAGCCTGGCTCTGGCTCACCTCTTTTCACAGGTCTTTCTTGTGTCCCCTACCAGTTGTGCATGGGGAGAGGAACAAGACTACCAGAACAGATCTTCGGGGCCACTGAACAGTCTAGCTTTTCTTTTCCTCTTTAGTTTCTTCCCCTTTAGGATATCTCCAGGGATCCTTTGTGGCCAAAGCCATGTGCTGTACCACGTTGTTAACCTTTTAAAGGCTGCTCTGGCGCCATTCCCTTCTCTTTTCCGGTATCCCTTCTCCGGGGAGGGCCGCGCTATCTGTGGTGAATGTTAATTTAGTTAGGTGCCCTCCAGACAACACCAATGACCTGAGCCTCTTTTGCCCAACAGTATCTGCAGAAACAGCCTGTGGATCTGCAGCAATGAAGAATGCCCAGGTAGGCTGTGTACTCCTTTTCTCCCCTTTCTCTGTGGAGAGGCGTGCCCTCCCCTGCTGCACAGGGAGCCCAGAGCACAGCAGACAGAGAGCGACCCCTTTGTAAGACCTCCTGACTTCAGCTCTGGCTTCGGATCTCAGCTGTGCCCTCTGCTCACCGTGGGCCATGCTGGCTCCCCCACAGCAGTCGAAGTGGGAGTAGATTGCCCTGCCCAACTCTTGTTTGCTCTGGGGATTAAGTTGCTGAGCTCTGAGACCTGAGCAGGGCTGACTAAGCAAAGAGAAGAGAAATTCTTTGGAAAATCAAGAGGAAGAAGGAGGTTCCAACAATTCTTTTGGCTTGATTTTTTTTTTAGAGCAAAAGCAGGTTTCTGTAGCTCCTGTACACTAGTTAAACAGAATAAGAGTGAAAGGTAGAGAACGGAGACTTATTCAATGAAGCAACACTCGGAAGAGGGACAAATAAAGGAGTTCATGACCCCAAGTCTTCCCAAGAGGTCCTTACTGCTGTCATGAATGTCGCTTGAGGGGATCAATCCGGTTTCTACAAGATGCTTGCTTCTGAGGCAGGTGCAGCCTGGCCCTCGTGGATAATTGCCCTCATCTGCCAGGGGTTCTGTCCCGGGAGGTTTTGTTATTCCAGGAATCTAGGAGACTCAAGGGGAAAGGTTGGCAATGACGTAGCTCTGTGCCTTCAGCCACAGTCAGGAGACAGACACCAGGAAGGCAGAGATCAATGCCCAGCATTTTCCCCACCCTTAGCTACCTCCTGGGCACAAGTGGGAAGTCAATGATTTTTTTTAGCAAAAACAGCTTTCGAGAGTGTTTTCATGAGTTCCATTGGAATTTTCTGGAATGTTTGATATGCAGACCACAGTATGGTCCAAATGCTAGGAGAACTAGGGTAGCAAAGGATCCACTTCCTAGTTACCCATCTGGAAACCGCTTAGGAAGCTGCATTATATCCTCAGCCCTCTGCGTTTACCTGTGTAGCCTCAGCTCTGTTTATTGCAAACCTTGCCCATTCACAGCTCCCTCTGCCTCACCCTTCATGACTCCAGACGTTTCCCTTTGTGATCACCCATGTGATGTTTTTGATATGCTAGGCACTGTGCTAAGGGCTTTTCATGTTTCTTCATGGTTACAACCATGAGACAAGTCCAATGTGTCTTCACGCTGCAAAGGAGAAAACAGTTAGAGATAGGTTAAGGAGTTTTTTCAAAGTCACAAAAATGCTAAGAGTCAGAGGCAGGACTCAAGCTTACCGTCAGCTGGATCCTCTACCTGTCCTTCCCTTTGCTGGCCCTAGACTTAGGTAGGCCAGAAGTGGCTTGGATACCTGGACTCATGTGAGGTCTGTAGATTAGAGGCTTTAGGGTCATTTGGAACCTTATGTAATACATGTCACACTGGGAGAATTCTGGAACTTGATGGGAACTAGATCAATTGCTTTAGCTCAGGAATGGTCAACTAGTCTTTGTATCTTTTGGGTAATCCTAGAAGAAAGCAGAAAG